TTTAAAGTCAAGTGAAAGTCACAATACCTACCCTTTATGAATTGCGTTTTTCTATAATAAGTCTGGCTCACATTTTCTCTGTTATCATGAATTCCTAAGATGGTTCACTTTCTGGCTGGCGCCGCGGCTCACTAGGCTAATCCTCTGCCTTGCGGCGCCGGCACACCGGGTTCTAGTCCCGGTCGGGGTGCCGGATTCTGTCCCGGTTGCCCCTCTTCCAGGCCAGCTCTCTGCTATGGCCAGGGAGTGTAGTGGAGGATGGCCCAGGTGCTTGGGCCCTGCACCCCATTGGGGACCAGGAAAAGCACCTGGCTCCTGGCTCCTGCCATCGGATCAGCGTGGTGCGCCGGCCGCAGCGCGCTGGCCGCGGCGGCCATTGGAGGGTGAACCAACGGCAAAGGAAGACCTTTCTCTCTGTCTCTCTCTCACTGTCCACTCTGCCTGTCAAAAAAAAAAAAAAAAAAAAGATGGTTCACTTTCTGAATTGGGCAGCAGTGGTTAAAAATTTGGATTCCAACTCAGATTTCTCTGACTCCAGACCCACTATTTTAAAAACTCAGTATTCCTGAGTATCTAACTTCTCTTTTCTTAGTTTTCCCACCTGCTGTTATATCCTGTATTGTTCATTACTGGATTTTTTGATATTATTCAAATCAGAAATTAAATTCAAACAAATTGGAATTTATTTGTGTGTGTGTGTGTATAATGTTTACACATGAAACAAATATGGAAAAGTGTTAAAATGATGTGTGCTCCTTGATTCTTTATACTTTGGTGTCTTGTTTGGAATATTTTAAAATACAAAGATAAAGAACAGAATGTACATTTCTGTTAACTAGGAAGCTAACCCCAGCATCACTTGATCTGGAGACTCAACAGAATCCCTCAGCAATACTTTACACTACCTTGATCCCAGCCTGCCCGAAGCCGGGTTCTAGGGACTCCATGTAGGAACCCAAGTACTTGGATTATCATGAGCTGCCTCCCAGGTGCATTGGCAGAAACTGGAGCAGAAGCAGAGCCGATGGGACTTGAACCCACACTCCAATAGCGTATGTGGGAGTACCAAGTAGCAGCTTAACCCTCTGCACCACAATGTCTGCCTCTGTCATCACACTTTTATGGCAAGTTTTTATTAAAATGGTGATGTTAGAATTATGTCTCATGCTTCATCTTGAGCAGACGCCCCAAAAAAGACTAGCTGGTTGATGGACATAGTTAAGACCAGGTGACCGGGGCGCTGGATTCTGTCCCAGTTGCTCCTTTTCCAGGCCAGCTCTTTGCTGTGACCCGGGAGTGCAGTGGAGGATGGCCCAGGTCCTTGGGCCCTGCACCCGCATGGGAGACCAGGAGGAAGCACCTGGCTCTTGGCTTCGGGTTGGCGCAGCTCCAGCCGTAGTGGCCATTTTGGGGGTGAACCGACGGAAGGAAAACCTTTCTCTCTGTCTCTCTCTCTCTCACTGTCTAACTCTGCCTGTCAAAAAAGATAAAAAAATAAAAAAATTAAAAAATAAAAGACTGGGAGGTGAGGTGTTTGATCCATAACTAGGAAAGCTAAACTCATTCAGAGCTGCTTTTAAAAGTTGACACTTGAGAACTGAAGGAGTGAGGGTGATGGAGATAGAGACAGAAAAATGAGAGAGATGGGGACAGCTGTGGTCTTCAACTGTTTTGGAATGCTTAGTTTCTTAAAAGGAAGATATGGGGGCTGGCGTGGTGGCTCACTTGGTTAATCCTCCACCTGCGGCGCTGGCATCCCATTTGGGCACCAGGTTCTAGTCCCAGTTGCTCCTCTTCCAGTCCAGCTCTCTGCTGTGGCCCCGGAAGGCAGTGGAGGATGGCCCAAGTGCTTGGGCCCCTGTGCCCGCATGGGAGACCAAGAGGAAGCACCTGGCTCCTGGCTTTGGATTGGTGCAGCACGCCAGCTGTAGCCACCATTTGGGGCATGAACCAATGGAAGGAAGACCTTTCTTTCTGTTTCTCTCTCTCACTGTCTAACTCTGCCTGTCAAAAAAAAAAAAAAAAAAAAAAAAAAGGATATGAAGCAAATACGAAAACACGCTCATATCATTTAAAGCTGGGAGATGGGAACTTGAGGGTTATAAATCTTTGCCTTTTGTGTATATTTGAAATATTTAATTAAAAATCACCACCAGCACCACAATAACACATGGTAAAATACAGTAACTACTTAGCCAGGTAGAATTTTTCCTTCTGAGTCTCTTGGATAGCAAAAGAGAGACATTCAGCAATCACCCAATCTCTGTTGGTTTACTGACTAATGTCACTTAGGAAGGCCAGCCCTTCCTCCTCACTCAGCAGAGGGGAAACAAAGTTCAGAGTGATCTCCAAGGAAAGTTCAACAGCCTCTGGTATGGATTGAAGTGCCCTGCCTGAAATTGTGATAATCAGAATGATTACAGAAATCATGGTTATCCCTTATTGAGAGCTATGTCTCAGGACCTGTGCTGAGCACTCACTAAAAGTTATCTCATTTGATTCTTGCAACCATTCCCTGAGGTGGATGGTGGTTTTATTCCTCCATTGTAGCTGAAGAAGCAGAAGCTTGGACTGGTTCAGTCACTCATCCAAGGTCACACAACCACACATGTGAACTTGGTCTCAAAACTAGATCTGTTTGATTCTATGGCTCAAGCCCCAGATTCATCTCTTTTGTAGGTCTGGATGCTAAGAAGGCTTGACGGGTAATAGTTCCCTCCTCAAGTTTATCTTATAATTGTATCTATGAAATACCTGAAATTGTTCTCTTTATATTAATAAAAAGAAAATTAAAATATGAGCCCTGGGTCAGGCATTTGGTTAGTAGTTAAGACTCAGCTTATGATGTCTGTATCCCATATCACAGTGTGTGGGTTCAAGTCCCAGCTCTGCTTCTATTTGCAGCTTCCTGCTGATATGTAACCTGGCTCAAGTACTTAGGTGTCTGTCACCCATGTGGGGAATGTGAATTGAGTTACGGATTTGCCTTTAACCTGGTTCAGTCCTGGATGTTGCAGACATTTGAAGGAGTGACCAGTGGACTGTGAATGGTCTCTCTCTCTCTCTCCAAAATAATCAAAACAAATTTTAAAAAAATTAAGAAGAAAGTGGTATGAGCCCTAAAGTCCCAATGCCTGGTGAGATTATTCTACTTACTAGTTATGTGACTTTATGGAAGCTACTCAAATTCTTTGAGCCTCAGGTATACATGAGTGAGATAGCAGAAAAGCACTTCATTCATATATTTTCTTGAAGATTCAGTGAGAATGTGTATGTAAAATGCTGAAGATAATGGTTGGCAATTAAAAAGTACTCCATTTTTGTTAACATTATTTTTCCTGCCTTTTGCTATGACATAGAAACTTGGAAGGAATTATGCAAAGTGAAATAAACCTGAGAAGGACAAATACTACACAATACCACTTATCAGAAAAACAAAAAAAAATAGCAAATTTGTAGAAGCAGAGTAGAATGGTGGTTGCCAAGGACTGGGGGAAGGGAAAATGAAGAAGTATTAGCCAAAGGAACACAATTGATACAAGCAAATTGAGTAAGCCATGATAACCTATTGTACAGTATATACAGATAATAATACCATTGCTAAGAGAGTGGATTGTATGTTAAGCATTCTTGCAAAAATAGCAATATTATTAAGGCAGAAGGAAACTTTGGAGGCTATGGATGTGTTACGGCATAGGCAGTGGTGATGGTTTCACGGCTGTATTCTTATCCCCAAATGTAAGTCTATACATTAAATATGTGTATTTTTGTATGTCAGTCTAACATCAATAAAGTCGTTTAAAGACAAAAAGATAAGACCTTATAAATCCATTCCATTTGAGTCTTTTTCATCACAATAACATCTCTCATTACTTTTAAAAATTAGTTTTATCACACACGTCAACAAGTTTACCTGATTCTATAGGCTTTCAATGAAAACCAAAACTCAATTTTTCCATTTTTCTGCATCTACTTGACATCTGCTTCCAAGAATCAACCACTTTTGGTTCTATTAGCTAGTTATTTTTTGGGACTTTACATTTTAAGTTATATTTCTTATTCTGAGACTATTGTTGACTCATATGCAATTGTAAGAAGTAATATAGAGATTCTGTGTACCCTGTATCTGAATGCTACTACCTCAGTTGTAATATCTTGCAAAATGATGGCACAATATGATAAACAATATCTTGAAACTGATACAATCATAACACAGAACGTCCATCTCCACACAGACCCTCACGTCACCCTTTTGATGCCACATCCAGCCATTTATCTCTTTTCTCCACCCTCTCCTCTTAATTGTTGACAACTGCTATTCTGTTTTTTAAAAACAAATTAATAATTAATTAATTAATTAACTAATTAATCATATTTGAGAGACAGAGAGGAACAGAGATGCACAGAGAACTCTCATCTGTTGGTTCATCTCCCAGATGCCCTCAATATTCAGGGCTGGGCCAGTTTGAACGCAGGAGCCAGAAACTGAAGCCAAGTCTGCTACATGGGTGGCAGGGACCCACGTTTGAGCCACCATCTGCTGCCCTCCAGAGTGTACATCATCAAGAAGTTTAAATCAGGAGAAGAGCTGGGGCCTGAACCCAGGACTTTGATATGGGATGTGGGGGTCCTAAATGGCATCATAACTGCCACTCTAAGCAACCACTATTCTGTTCTTCATTTCTATAAATTTAATTCAAGCAATTTACACTTCCTTGTGTGTGGAAAGAATTCTGCTTTTTCTCTCAGCTTTGTTGGGGTACAATCAGCAAAAATTTAAGGTACACAATATGATGTTTTTCTACATTCTGAATTACCAGAATCAAGCTGATTAACACATGCATTCTCTTAACATCTCGCATCATAGTTCTGCCCTTTTTGTTGCTGAGCAATATCCCATGGTGTGGATGTGCCACCTGTTTTCAGCACTTTTAACATTAATGCTCAGCTGTGTTTTCATAACAGGCCCTGCATTTATTTTTAGGACCAATACCGCTTACCTTTATATTCCATGTCTTCTCTGTGAATGTACCGAGCCATCTCCAAACTGATGCCTCCCAGTGGTCTGTCATGCTTGTCGCTTACTTTTTCAGTCCTTTATTTGTCACCTCTTCCAACAATTCAAATTATACGTTAAGAAAATGAAGAAGAAGGAATCTATGAATTTCTTCTTCCACATGATTTTCCTTTGGTAGTTTTTTCAGCGTCAGGTATAGACGTTCTTCTGAAGGTTTGCGTGGATAATTTGAAGAATCATGAGTGACCCATTTTACTGAAACACAGGAAGGCTTGATGGCGTCAAGTTCTAACCGCGCCATCAAATGCTGCAGAGGCACAGCTACATTCTGGGTAGCACTGCCTAGAGAATTCTCCAATTGGTCTCTCACGGATGCCATTGAAATGACGTCCCTACGTAATTGCTCCTTCTATTCAGTTTTAGTAGCAAAACAGCTAGCAAATGTGTGTGTGTCCACACATAAGGAAGGAAGTGGGCTCCAGTGAACACACGCACACACAAATATTTCTCCAGTTAATTTGTTTCTCTCCTTTTTCACTTGGGTAGTTACTACTTATTTATGTCTTTGGAACACTGTTGTGCTTTGTCCCACACATAGTTCTTTTCAAGGCCAATGACAGCAACATAAATCAATAAGAGACTTGTTTTCCCAGTTTAACACTGAAAACACTTTGAAGGAAAGTTCTACTCTTTCCCATTTTTAATCGCCACTATTATAGTGTCTTTAACATAGTAAAAACACAGTTTTATGTATTGTGGATTCATGAAGATGTGCATTTAAATGGTTTTGGCTGTTTCTGTGCCTTTGAAAGGGATTTTTTGCCCCCAAATTTGCCACTTTTTTTTTAAACAACTTTGGTATTTCTACAAAGGGCTTGGTTTGCTTTGTTTTCTCCTTATAGAAAAGTGGGCTGGGAGTCAGAAGCCTTAGAAAGCCTGCTTTGAGACTTGGATCTATCACTTACCAACTGCAGGAGATTAAACATGTCAACTAAGCTCCACTCAATGAATTCTCAGGTTGCTAGCACAACATAGAGAGCAATCTGCCCAGAATTTCATATACAAAGTAACATATTTTCATTGTCTATTGTGAGAGGTACAGGTTGGGGTAAAAGAGAGAGTGAAAGTTGGATATTCCACAAATGTACTACTGATGACATTCTCCACTGTATGGATTTTAGGGAGCCTTATGTGGAGGTAGCTTTCACTTTAATGATCTTAAAAAGAATTGCCACATGTTTCCCCCTTTCATATGATAAAATCTTTTCATATAATTTGTAGCAATTAAACAGTCTTTTGGCTTTTCCTGTAAAACTCTGGGGATAATGCTTTTTCTTAGAGATCTCAGCAGAGAATTAATCTACATTCAGGCAAAATTAGACATTCAATTACAAGATCATCTTTAAAAGGGTAATTATGTCCTAAATGCCTTCTGCTTTGTTGCCATAGCTGATTTCTGAATATTCCCGTTTAGCATGGCTTCTAAATAAACATCCAAGGTCAGAGGTGACTCACCCTTTGTAACATTTAGTTTTCATAATTTATATGGCATAGTTGCACCCCTCAAGATACCTAAAATATTGGCCATTAATTTAGATACTTTAGGAGGATGAACTGAGTAAGAACAATGATGAAGCCCAGTGACTTAGAAGAAGTTATTGCTGAAATGTCAAACCAAGAGAAAAACCAACTGGTTAAGCATCTTTTCTTAAAAATGAAATTACAAAGAAAAGGGACTAATATATATATATATATACATATATATTTATAAAACAACATCAATTTAACATTTTTTAAAAGATTTATTTATTTGAAAGAGTTCTACAGAGTAAGAAGGAGAGGCAGAAAGAGAGAGGTCTTCCATCCACTGATTCACTCCCCAACTGGCCGCAATGGCCGGAGTTGCGCCAATCCAAAGCTAGGAGCTCAGAGCTTCTTCCAGGTCTCCCACGTGGGTGCAGGGGCCCAAGGACTTGGGCCATCTTCTACTGCTTCCCTAGGCCATAGCAGAGAGCTGGATTGGAAGTGGAGCAGCTGGGACTCAAACCGGTGCCTGTATGGGATGCAGGCACTGCAGGCTTTACCCGCTATGCCACAGTGCCGGCCCCAACTTTTATGATTTTTAAAAGATTTATTTATCACTTATTTATTTATTTTTATTTTATTTTATTTATTTATTTATTTTTTTTTACAATGGCTTCCCCCCCATACCGTCCTTCCCACCCACAACCCTCCCCTTTCCCACTCCCTCTCCCCTTCCATTCACATCAAGATTCATTTTCGATTATCTTAATATACAGAAGATCAGCTTAGTATACATTAAGTAAGGATTTCAACAGTTTGCTCCCACACAGAAACATAAAGTGAAAAATAATAGATGATTTTTTTTAAACGATGATGAAATCAGATCAGACCTATTGTCATGTTTAATCCCAGTGAGAGTCAAGTTGGGAGTTGATAATTTCTTTTCTTTTCTTTTCTTTTCTTTTCTTTTCTTTTTTTTTTTTTTTTTTTTTTTTACAGAGGATCAGTTTAGTATGCATTAAGTAAAGATTTCAACAGTTTGCACCCCCATAGAAACACAAAGTGAAATATATTGTTTGAGTACTCGTTATAGCATTAAATCTCAATGCACAGCACATTAAGGACAGAGATCTTACATGAGGAGTAAGTGCACAGTGACTCCTGTTGTTGACTTTACCAATTGACACTCCTGTCTATGGCATCAGTAATCTCCCTATGCTCCAGTCATGAGTTTCCAAGGCTATGGAAGCCCTCTGAGTTCTCCGACTCTTATCTTGTTTAGACAAGCTCATAGTCAAAGTGGAGGTTCTCTCCTCCCTTCAGAGAAAGGTACCTCCTTCTTTGAAGACCTGGTCTTTCCACTGGGATCTCACTCACAGAGATCTTTCATTTAGGTTTTTTTTTTTTTTTTTTTTTTTTTTTTGCCAGAGTGTCTTGGCTTTCCATGCCTGAAATACTCTAATGGGCTTTTCAGCCAGATCCGAATGCCATTAGGGCTGATTCTGAGGCCAGAGTGCTATTTAGGACATCTGCCATTCTATGAGTCTGCTGAGTATCTCACTTCCCATGTTGGATCACTCTCCCCTTTATTTATTCTATCGGTTGGTGTTAGCAGGTACTAGACTTGTTTATGTGCTCCCTTTGACTCTTAGTCCTTTCATTATGATCAATTGTGAACTGAAATTGATCACTTGGACTAGTGAGATGGCATTGGTACATGCCACCTTGATGGGATTAAATTGGAGTCCCCTGGTATGTTTCTAACTCTACCATTTGGGGCAAGTCAGCTTGAGCATGTCCCAAATTATGTATCTCTTCCCTCTCTTATTCCTACTCTTATGTTTAACAGGGATCACATTTCAGTTAAATTTCAACACTTAAGAATAACTGTGTATTAATTACAGAATTAAACCAGTCATATTAAGTAGAACAGACAAAAAAACTACTAAGAGGGATAACGTATTAAGTTGTTCATTAACAGTCAGGGCTATGCTGATCAAGTCACCGTTTCCCATAGTGTCCATTCCACTTCAACAGGTTTCCTTTTTGGTGTTCAGTCAGTTGTCACCAATTAGGGAGAACATATGGTATTTGTCCCTTTGGGACTGGCTTATTTCACTCAGCATGATGTGTTCCAGATTCCTCCATTTTGTTGCAAATGACTGGATTTCGTTGTTTCTTACTGCGGTATAGTATTCTAAAGAGTACATATCCCATAATTTCTTTATCCAGTCTACCGTTGATGGGCATTTAGGTCGGTTCCAGGTCTTAGCTATTGTGAATTGAGCTGCAATAAACATTAGGGTGCAGACCACTTTTTTGTTTGCCAATTTAAATTCCTTTGGGTAAATTCCAAGGAGTGGGATGGCTGGGTCGAACGGTAGGGTTATCTTCAGATTTCTGAGCAATCTCCAGACTGACTTCCATAGTGGCTTGACCAGTTTGCATTCCCACCAACAGTGGGTTAGTGTCCCTTTTTCCCCACATCCTCGCCAGCATCTGTTGTTGGTAGATTTCTGAATGTGAGCCATTCTAACCGGGGTGAGGTGGAACCTCATTGTGGTTTTGATTTGCATTTCCCTGATTGCTAATGACCTTGAACATTTTTTCATGTGCCTGTTGGCCATTTGGATTTCCTCTTTTGAAAAATGTCTATTGAGGTCCTTGGCCCATCTCTTAAGTGGGTTGTTGGTTTTGTTTTTGTGGAGTTTCTTGATCTCTTTGTAGATTCTGGTTATTAACCCTTTATCTGTTGCATAGTTTGCAAATATTTTTTCCCATTCTGTCGGTTGTCTCTTCACTCTCCTGACTGTTTCTTTTGCAGTACAGAAACTTCTCAATTTGATGCAATCCCAATAGTTAATTTTGGCTTTGACTGCCTGTGCCTCCCGGGTCTTTTCCAGAAACTCTTTGCCTGTGCCAATATCTTGAAGGGTTTCTCCAATGTTCTCTAATAACTTGATGGTGTCAGGTCGTAGATTTAGGTCTTTAATCCATGTTGAGTGGATTTTTGTGTAAGGTGTAGGGTAGGGGTCTTGCTTCATGATTCTGCACGTGGAAATCCAATTTTCCCAGCACCATTTATTGAATAGACTGTCCTTGCTCCAGGAATTAGTTTTAGATCCTTGATCAAATATAAGTTGGCTGTAGATGTTTGGGTTGATTTCTGGTGTTTCTATTCTGTTCCATTGGTCTATCCATCTGTTTCTGTACCAGTACCATGCTGTTTTGATTACAACTGCCCTGTAGTATGTCCTGAAATCTGGTATTGTGATGCCTCCGGCTTTGTTTTTGTTGTACAAGATTGCTTTAGCTATTCGAGGTCTCTTGTGCCTCCATATAAATTTCAGCACCAATTTTTCCAGATCTGAGAAGAAGGTCTTCGGTATCTTGATTGGTATTGCATTGAATTTATAAATTGCTTTTGGGAGAATGGACATTTTGATGATATTGATTCTTCCAATCCATGAGCATGGAAGATTTTTCCATTTCTTGGTATCCTCTTCTATTTCTTTCTTTAAGGTTTTGTAATTTTCATCGTAGAGATCTTTAACGTCCTTGGTTAAGTTTATTCCAAGGTATTTGATTGTTTTTGTAGCTATTGTGAATGGGATTGATCTTAGAAGTTCTTCCTCAGCCATGGCATTGTCTGTGTATACAAAGGCTGTTGATTTTTGTGCATTGATTTTATACCCTGCTACTTTGCCAAACTCTTCTATGAGTTCCAATAGTCTCTTAGTAGAGTTCTTTGGGTCCCCTAAATAAAGAATCATGTCATCTGCAAAGAGGGATAGTTTGAGTTCTTCCTTCCCAATTTGTATCCCTTTAATTTCTTTTTCTTGCCTAATAGCTCTGGCTAGAACCTCCAGAACTATATTGAATAGCAGTGGTGAGAGTGGACATCCCTGTCTGGTCCCAGA